CACAAGGTACAACGCAAATGTCAGCAAAGAGTCAGGCAAATGTCGCCTGACTCTCCACCCTAAAATACAGAGCCTGAGAAATCTGCCATAGTAACAAGGCTTGGGTCAAACCCTCAGTAAGATTTTGTCCCAGACCAGAGATGGCCAGAAGTCACATGTCCAACAAGGGCTACAATGTCTTTCTTCCACCTGCACACACAGTGCCTACATGTGGGACTCCACAACATGGGTGAAGCCACACACACACAGCTGCACACATGTAGTCAGAACACCACATGGGTATGAAGCCAGCACATACTCTGTCGTCTGAGAAGAGGCAATAATGCAGACCATACATCCAGAGAAACCATCCTAAGCAGGATCAGGATCCCTAGCAGTCAACAAAGTCAACCTCGCCTCAGAGTGTCTGAAGAAGGCCTGTCAAAACAACTCAACCCTAAGTAAGACTTCCTCAGGAAGTCACCCAGCATGCCAAGCCACCAATCCTCTGTGGAGGGAGGCCACAAAGCTAACACAAGTCAGAAGGGATGAGAGGACCTAGCCACAGCTACACAGAGGTCACTTAGCCTTTTCTGAATCAGCTCTGCAAGGGAGCCTCCTGCCTCCTCCAAGGTATACCATACTACCTTGCCTTCTGCCACCATCATTAAGATCCAGGCTCACTGTCTAAACTTCCAGACTAAGACCCAGCCTGAGACCCAGCCTGGGTCCATTCTGACCCTGGGGACACTAATGCCAGATACGTCCTAAGTGTTCATCAGGTCTTGGTGGGTAGGGAGGGGTTGACTCTTCAGAGCAAACTAACACTGGGCACATTTCAAATTGCCAGAGAAGAGCCCCCTGAGGAATTCTAGGAAGACATGAGAACAAAGAGAATCATCTTTCTCATGTTACCAACATAGTTTGTTACTAAAGGATAAAGCAAAAAGTAACAATGGCTAACAATTACTGCCCTTGTATTCTGTGCAGGTGCCAGCACTTTACATGCCTGATGTCATTTCATCCTCAAACCTCAGACAAGGTGCTGCCAGTATTACCCAACTTCACATTGGACTGCACTGTCACCCACACTCCACACTGAGCCTGCCACTTGTCACTCACACTTCACACAAGGACTGTTACCGACACTTCACACTGGGACTGTCGCTGCCGCCCACACTTCACACAGGGACACTCATTATCAAGAGGACTGTCATTGTCACCAATACTTCAGATGAGGACTGTCACTGTCACCCACACTTCACATGAGGACTATATTGTCACCCACACTTAACATGTGCGAAAAGTGAGACTGAGAGAAGTCCAGCAATCATACAAGGTCACAAGGCAAGAAGTTAAACCTGGTGAGCTATCTCTCACACCCAGCCAGTCTGAATTACAGCCTTCTTGGACAGTCTGACTCTAGGCCATTCCCAATAGGTCCTTCCCAAGCCTCTGGGAAAACTTCCTAGAACAAAAACCATTATACCTGTGACTCCCCTCTAAAAGCAAGCTCATCTTACTCCTTAGTGAAATACTGAACCTGCAGGAGTGAAGCCCCACTGTGGAAACCAGCTCCTCTCATAGCACAGCCAAGACCATGACTCATAAGCACCCTTACCTTCTGTAAATACACTAGAACCATCAGTTGATGAAGCACATATTTCTGATCTCCTACCTCTATGCACAAGCCAAGGGAAGGAGCTCAAAGGATTTTATCAATACTGCCAAGCTGCGTCACAAGGCCAATTTTCATTTTCATTTCAGCAAGAACCGTCCCCCTCACACCCTCATGAACACACACTCCAACCACACTCAGAACCACAAAGCAGACCCGGATCCCAGCATTATTTCCTTCCAACAAGCAGCACAGCAATCACACAAGTAAGACAGAGAACATAGACGGGGAGAGAGGGCAGTCCCCTGACCTGACACAATACACAGTGGGGGGAGGCTGGACAGGGTACCTCCTGACCCTCTCAGGTCACCTAATTCACACCAATAACCCCAAACCCAAACCCAGGACTCTGATGGCTCTGAGTCATAATCACACAGATGCCACTCTCAGACCCAAGTCGTCTTTTTTTCCCCACCAAAGTGCTAAACTACTTAAGACTCTCATTCCTTTTTTATTAAAGATTAGTTTATGCATACAGAACTGGGGTACAGGCCAGAGATGCAAGGGGTAAGAAGATTCGTCAGAGACAGAGTGAGGAGCAGAACAGGCAGATATACTGAAATACACTGCTGAGGGGAGCAATGGGCAGGTCAGGAGAGGTCTGCTGTGCCATGTGGGTCACCTCCCTGGCTGGGGATTGAACTCGCGCAGCAGTGGCTGCAACAGCTTCATAGTGCTGTGCTTTAACCCACTGCACCACCAGGGTGGGCCCAAGACTCTTTCTTAAAGTACCACAGCCCACCCCACCCTTAAACCCAAGGCCACTCAATGGACACCCACCTGTCTTCTCCCAACTCTGCCAAGAATGGCAGGATTCAAAACATCCAAGCAATGCACAAACAAGAAAACTCAAACCAAGAGTAACAGCTGTTGGAATAATTCCCATGGATGTTTCTGAGAAGTGTTTTAATCACTCTACGCATTTTGGAAAACTGTCTAAAACCTCAAGCCAGAACAATCTCAGAATCTAAAAAATGCCAATTACTGGTAAGGTCCAGGGCACTTGAATTCAGGAAGCCTCTTCCTGGAAAGTTATCTGAAGTAACTTTTTCAGATTAAGCAAATGCCTATATCCTGTAATTCTGTCTATCACCACTACATCATGGAGCACAGCAGTATATTCTCCTACGTGTATGAAGACCATCCTATGAGACAACCCCTCAGACAGTTTATTTTTATCTGTTAGGGACTGTACTTTCACCTAATATATGGCACTATTAAGCTTGGGAAGGGAAATCCAGAACAAATTAAGTTCATGCCTGGATCAGTAAAGTCACAAACACAATCCTCTGTTAAAACCCATCCCCACGACACACCAATGCTAAGTCCCTTGCCCATGACAACCTACCCACTTCTGCTGCCCTTTCCAGAAGGACACGTGACCTTTTCTCTGGCCAGTAAGGAACCTTTCCTGGGTGTTTGTCCTGTCTTCTTTCTGCAAGTCAACCTTGGTGGCCATACATCCTCTCTGACCTGTTTTAAGTCTGCAGCATGTCAGGGATACCTGCTCATCTTTAAGTCTGTACCACTTTCTACATACAGTTAGCCCCAAATGAATCTTAAGTCTGCTACACTACTACCAAAAAAAAGTTACATTTTTAGAGCTCTGCCTGACAAACAAGTTGATAGTAAGTCTACCAAGACATTTCAATTCAGAATCAGCACATTAGTATCTATTCCCCAGAAGACTTCAAAATGAACTCTTACTGACTCAGGGGTCCCCTTGCCCAGACTTCAGCAGGTAGAAAAGTCCCTTGTACTGTTGGAAAAGACACATTAAAAACTTAAAAAGTGGGCCCTCCCTGGTGGCACAACAGGTATAAGGCACAGCACTATGAAGCTATCTGCAGCCACTGCAAAACAAGTTCAATCCCCAGCCAGGGAAGCCTGTACCCTAGGGTCTGTATGCATAAATAAATAAATCTTTAAAAATATATATATATAAATTTAAAAGTTTGCTAAAGGGAGGCAAAAGATACACATTGATGAGGTCAATTAATTAAACTGCTAACAAAACACTAAACTTTAAAATCCCAAGTCATCCTAAGGTTCCAGTGGATCTTCTCTGAAGAGGTGATAGGGCTGGCCTTAACCTTATATACACAGGAATATAGATGAAAAGAGGAAAAAAATTCATCACAAACTAAAAGCAGCTGACCAATTCTACTAATGCCTTCGAGCCAAGAATTCATTGCTACACTCCTACTTTCCCCAAGCCATTGAACAACTGGGGAATGTGTTTCTTCTGTAATTTGAGTGACGATCATAGCAGATTTCACAACTGCCCAAAATGCAAGAAAACCTGTGTCACTGCCACAAAAATCCAGTGAGTGGAAACAAGTGACAGGAATACTGGGGACTGAAACACACCACCAAACAACCCACACCTATCCCAGGCCAGCATACATTCAGGAATAACACAAGAGGTACAGGGGCCCCTCCTGATTTTAAAAGCAGATAATGATAGATCTCCCTGGTAAACACTTTCCCATCTCAATAAAGGAGGAACTCTCCCTGAGAGTCAGGATGAGGAGTTCAGTAGGTCCTGGTCACAAAGTAAACTGAGAGTCTGTGCCATGAGCACACAAGCAAGAGCATAGTGAATGCCTCCGTGCTCTGCTCTTGTGAGCCAGTCAGTGAGCAGGACTGCATGGACACCACCAAAAGAAGCTATGTACCCATCACTTCATATGTTCCCAACTTAACCATTCAAGATCAATATTACCATCCCTTTTCAGAAATGGGAATCAAGTCACATCAGTAGCAAGAGACCCAGCAGCGCTCACACCCCAGCAGAGGTTAAGTCAGGCTCGCCCAAGACACACTACAGGTACCTGCTGCCCAGGAACAGGCTTCGTTCGGCCTTGGTCTGCACACTGGATGCAGGTTAGTCAGTTACCCCGGCACTGGAAGAAGAGGTTGGCTACCATAGCACAACACGACTTTTTAAAGTGTGCTCAAAGGCATCATCTCATTAGGCTGAATTCAGTTTGAAAATTCAAACCAAAAACTAACCAGCAGAGCACGGCAGGTGGTGCTGGGTTGAGAAGAGGTTGCAGGAGGTACAGCTGAAGGACCCTTCACCTCTAACAAATGGAAACTCTCTCTCTGCCCACCTTCCCTCCCAACCCCACCTGCACACTCAAATCCCACAGTCCTGAACCTTTCCCCAACACTCCTGCTCAATCATTGGGGGTCTCCCTTTTCGGTACTGTCCATCCCATTAACACATTCTCTCTCAGATGCTGACCCAACTCTCAGACAGGTATCAAACCTTCAGTCCTTTCATATAAAAACCCAGAACAGGAGATCAGGACAGGAAGGTAAAGCCCTACAAACTCACCTGTGAAACAGGGTTACATCTCTGAAGATTGAGGGGGCTGAGGGAGCACACTGAGAAGCTCTTTCCTGAGGATTCCCAGGCACTTCCTAAAGAGACCTGCAGATATTCAATTAGAATGAATTCCTTTGTCTTCTAAAAAGACTAACCTACATTTTCATCAGACAAAAAGAGGTCACAAATACAATCTAGAAAGTGAGGGGAGGGGCAAGAACCTATGTTTGACATTCCTTTTACTGAAAAATCCTCAGTCCCTTTGTCAAAAATCCAGGTATGCATGTTTTGTACTGGTACTTCTGATTCTAAGGTCCCAGTCTCACTACCCCCAACTTAGGACCAACCCCTCCACTTGCTTCTAAGGGACCTAGTCTCACTACCCCCAACTTTGGACTCTTCCCCATCTAATTCTAAGAGTTGGGAGGGAGGGGCTTTGGGGGAGAGAGTAATAGCACAACTTCAGGAGTGGTCTTATACTGCTGATCCGTAACAAGTTGTCTTCCTGATTCAATTCTAAGACGCAGCTTTACAACACAGAGAATAAATGACATTACCTTAGAGAATAGCACTCTGAGTCCAGACTATCCAGCTAATCTTCTAGAACAGCTCAGCTAGCTGGCGAGCATCCTTCATAGGCAGAAAGTTCTGTGAGCTTCAAACTATGACACTGCCAACTTGTTCTTCTGGTTCAGCCACACTCCCCACCTGACAACCACTTGATGTGCTATTACCCCAGAATGGCTGCCCAAGAAGACACCACCTACTCACCTGTTTCACAATATTCCTTGTTTTCTACAATGTGGATAAATTAACTCAACCAGAAAAAATAAAGTCCAGGAAAAGTCTTGCCTATTCCATTTGAAGGCACAGAACTATCCAAGTGTAAGTATTTGTGTTGCCCACACTTGTAGAGGTTAATTAGCACATTGAAAGTCCGTAACAAAATTCAGTGGTAAGGGTGTTACATTTCTGTCTCTGTTGGAAATGACAAGACTCTGCAGGTCATTCTTAATTTTCTCCCAAAAGAACAAACTCCAGAAAAGCCAATATTTCTGAATGTCTTCACTATGTTCTCCTTCATGTCAGGAACATCCTTTAGTCCTATGCTAAGGCCCATCACACCCAACCACCTAGCCTGAGCCTCACCACGTACCTGGGCCAGTCTCTTGAATGGGATTTACCACTCAATATAAATCCTAGACCCCATCTCAGCCCTGGCGCCCAGCCAGACTCATTTTCCACTAGTCTCTCTTTTTCCTTATCTGTTCAACTACTCCATCTTTCCTCCGTCCCAGGCACTCTGACAGAAAACATTCTTTTTCTTTCCCTACTTAGCTCTCACCAGGACTTCTCAGCTTGTGTCCTGCTCACTAGGTTTCAGAGCCTCTTCCTTCTTTTAAGTTTTCCCATTTTTGACTTTACAACTTATCTCTCACTAAATTTCAGGGTAAAACCGTGAGAGCAGGGACCCCTAGCACAATGCCAGAGGCACTCTCAGTATGACTGAATAAATCAATCCAGAAATCACTATTTGCAATGCCAGAAATTCACTAAGTAAACAATGCAAAGACAGAGGAGCCACCAAAGTGTGACAAGGTTGTATTAAAGTATCCCTTACTTTTAAAAATAAAAAATACAGGCCCCTTGGTGGCATAGGGTTATAGTCTCAGCACTATCAAGCATCACTAGCCACCACAGCATGAATTTCACCCCCAGAAAGAGAGCTAACATTACAGCAGACCTCTCCTGTCTCGCCCACCCTCTTTTCCCCTCAGCAGTGTACTTCAGTAGATCTGCCTGCTCTGCTACTCACTGTCTCTGGTGAATCCTCTCACCTCTATACTCCAGTTCTTGTATGCATAAGTAAATAAAAATAAATCTTTAAGAAAAAAAAATGGTAAAATACAGAGGTAACCAAAATTTTGTTGTTTTTTTTTAAACTACTGCTAATTCTAATCCAGAGATTCTAGGTTTGACATTTTTTTTTTAAAGATTTATTTATTTCTGCATACAGAATTGGGGTACAGGCTAGAGGCTCAGGGGCGGTGAGAGGCTTCACCAGAGACAGAGCGGGGAGCAGAACAGGCAGATCGGCGAAGTACACTGCTGAGGGGAGCAGCGGGCCGGTCAGGAGAGGTCTGCCACACCATGTGGTCACCTCGGGGGCAGGTGGGAATCGAACTCATGCGGAAGCGGCTTTAGATTCTCAGTGCTGTGCTTTAACCCGCTGCGCCACCAGGGAGGGCCAGGTTTGACATTCTTCCAAGACTTTTACCAAGAGTACATTTTTTTTTAAGGGTAGCACTATTTCTTTTTTCACTACCAAAATACATGGTGCTGTACTAATAATGAAAAATGTATGTCATCTGAGTGGAAATAATACATCCACGTCAGTAAGTAATACAGGAACATCCCATCTCTAGACCATGATGAGGCAATGTAAAACCAGCATCAGACCGTTAGGAAAGGAATACAAAATAAAAGATGAAGGGTGGGAAAGTAAGTATGGGGGCTAACAAATCACTTTCAAAACTGCACTGTAAAGTTACTCTACAAAGACAACTTTTCTGAGCTGGAAGCTGAGGAAGCTAAGGCAAAGGGGGTGATTCTATGCCTTGGCTGCTTAAGAGGCCATCTGGTAACTCTGTTTGAGGACAAAAGAGGGCCTGGAATGGTATCCCCAGGTCATGCCCCAACTCCAAGCAGAGGCTGAGTAGCCTGCACAAGTAAAAGAACTTGTTTTAGGACCTCCAAGGAAATGCTCACAAATTGGGTTTGCAAAACAGGAGTCTTTCTCTCTGGGTGTTCTTCAGGGCAAGCTCAAGCCCAGATGTGCCTCTCCACCACAGTGGACTTGGGCAAGTATTCTGGCCTTCGGGATTCTTGGTTTCATCTTCTAAACTGAACTGTATCCCCCCCTCCACATCAGCTTGTTATGGGCACTGAAAATGTTTGAGCACTGAGCTTGCTTGGCACAGAGTAGGCATGCAAATCTAACAGCTAACATAGTCCCCTCCGCAACAGCTTTTTGCCAGGTCTGATCAGCTACTGATCTTGGAGTTCTGAGCTGGTGCCAGCAAATCTTATGTCAGAAAACTTGTAACCACTACCCAATAAAAAGAAACATCAGCAAGACAGCGAGTCCAAGACAGAACCAACTCCTGTCTCTTGATGTCTGTACTGCCAGCCAGAAGGTGTCACTGTGCGAAATGGACACAGAACCGTGTGTACTCCACGAAAACCGAAAGAAGTAAGATGAGGAAGAGAGAAAATTAAAGGCTCAAGTGACTCATCCAGACTTTGAACCAAAGAATCCAAACCTCAGATAAGAATAAACTACACATCGAAAGAAACACAAATTAAGCAGTCCCTGCAAAATTCCCAGGGCAGGGAAGAAACACAACTCCGTTCCTAAGGCAGGGTCCTCATTCATTGCTAAGTCCCAGTGAGCGCACACCCAGTGTCAGTCTCTCTCCCGGTTGGGGCCCTGCCCATAAACCTTTCCTTGTTGAAGTGATCAATTCCGATTCTTGGCAATAATCCCTTTAAAAGGCCAGCTGCAGCTGTTTAGTCACTGATGCAGACCCACTCTGGGTGGGAAAAGGGTTATCAGCGCGGACGCCGTGTAGATGGAGAAGCAGATTTAAAGTGTGGGGCCCTGAGGTGGGCTGGAGCCCAAAGGAGGCAGGGTCCAATTTCTGGGGATCCGGCGGGAAGGGCGCAGACCTGGAGGCCGCCCGCAGGCGTGGGCGCCAGGGACTCTTATTCTGACACGGAGCCGCCGCACCGTCGCCGCGGGGCTCAGCGCCGCCGCCCGGGACCCCCACCGGCCCACGTGCGCCCCCCACCCCGCCCAAAGAAAGCTGCGCCCGGCTGCCCAGCCCCTCCCACTGGCCCAGGAAGCGCTGGAGGAACAGGGCCGCACAATCCCGGGACCCCCGCCCGCTCGGCCCCCACGTGCCCGGGCGGCGTCGGGGCGAACTTTCCCCGGCCGAGCGGAGCGCTTGGGACGCGAGAGAAAACTCACGCGCTCTCACTTTTCCAGCGCTCCAGGGGTCCCCGCAGACCCCGATCCCCGCCCAGCCAAGCCCCTGCCCCCTCCAAGTTTTGTCCGGAACTTACCCGGCCGCGGTCGGCTGGACCCTAGGGCAGCGCGCGGAGTGGCGGACTCTCAGGACCGGGGTCTTCCGCGGAGCCGGGCGGCCGAGGGGC